TTGTGGTGGGAAATGGTATAATAATCAGATTTTCAGAAGATCATTGGATCGGTAACAAATGTTTCAAGGAGGAGCATCCCAGGTTATATGAGTTGTCAATAGAGAAAGAGGTTTCCCTGTATCAAGTGGGTGAAAGGAAAAGAATCACTTCAAGATGGGACCTGAATTTTAGGAGAAGATTGTAGGCTTTAGAGGAATCAGAAGTGGAGAGACTCATCGATGAGTTGAATAGGATTACTCCAAGAATGGCAGATAAAGATGATGCTTTAGTGTAGAAGGCTTCATCATCTGGTATGTTTAATGTTGCTGTAGCATCACATCTGGGCAAGATTTTGATGACGATGGGTTCATTTGGAAGAACATCTTGCCACCAAAAGTGCAATTTTTTGGTTGACTTGTTTGGAAAGGCAGAATTAAATTAAAAGCTTATCTTCAAAGAATTGGGATCTTGAATCATGATACTAGGACTGAGTGTGTGTTTTGTAATGGGGAAATGAAAACTTTAAACCATGTTATGTTAGTGTGCCCTGTTATTTGGAAAATTTGGACAAATCTACAGACTTGGTGGGGTATGTAATGGGTATCACCTCATCATGTTGAAGGTCTGCTAGATTGGTGGGCAGAAAATAATATTTTGTTCGTAAGTTAGAATTTTGTAAAATACAAGCGATGTCAAAATTGTTGTTTCTCCGTTTATAGTGAAGACGACAACATTAGATTAGAGATACACAATAATAATATACACGATTTATATACTGACAAAGAACTCTCCTCATCTTCTGATAACAGGATCCTGAACAGCGACCCTTCTGCCCAATATTCCTCTACCTCGAAGGACCTTCAAGAACAGGAAAAACCACTTAGGCTAGAAGTCTCAGATGACACGACTACTTATCAGGCAAAATAAGTTTCAAGGACTATAATCAAAGACGTCGTCTACAACATCATAAATGACATCAAATACTCGACAGTCCTAACCGAACTAATGAAAAATTTAGTAGGTTGCTAGAGAGACTTCCATGTATTTGTTAAATTCCAACCAGATCTCACTATTAGAGGAGGAATTCCTTGTATTATATTAACTAATGGCGACAGTAGTTGGTTAGATGCAATGTCTCCAAAAATAAGAGAATGATTTGATGTAAATGTAACCACTGTCATGATTAATGAAAAATTTTATTAATTTTATTTATATAACCATTCAAACTTTTATTTACTTACTACATTTCCCTTATCATTAACTATTACATCTTTAGATTCATCACTGCTTTTTACACTCATTATTACATTTCATAAAGTATCAAAAAATTCTGCAGGGTCCATAACAACTGATCCTCTCTGATTAACTTTGTCTTTCCTAGAAGCACCAACCTCTAAAATCGACAGACCAGGATCAACATCATTAGCACCATCACCACCTCTGCATACATCAATCTCAGACAAACTCAGACGATTCATGTGTTCATGAATAACTGAACCACTTTCTTCAAAACCTCCTAACAACAAATCTATTCGCCTCTCCAGCAAACCCCAGACATAGTCTATGTCAAAATCGGAATAGCCTTGGTTGGAGCACAATGCCACACATCAACATTACAAATAAAAATACATAAAATTATAATTCTAAACAGTCTTAAAGTACATTTGACTCCTTAACATAATTTTGCATTCTTTTCCACTAACAGTAGCAGCCACTGAATATATGGCACCCTTCTTAATACTTCCAACATTTCCCAACAACGTATCTTTGTTGTCCGTCCAAACATCAACAAGGAAGAATCGGTCCACAACCTCTATTTCGTAACGAACATACTCTTGGTCCTTGCCACCAATGAGCTTGAATCTCATTTTCTTTAGCATCCGAAACCTGTCGAACTGGTCAGGATCAACAATCCATGTGTCAGGATTACCCTCAACAACTCCAATAAATATCTTGTCTGGTGTAGGAATGGAATCTAATGAACTATTATCACTTATGACGAAAAACAAAACGTGGTGGACCACATCTTCCTCTTTAGCCTCTTTTCCCACTGCAACAGAAAATTCATCTTTGCCATCAGATGTTTCTAGTACCAAATAAATAGCAAAAATGGCTCGTGAGTAAAGACGAAGATTTCCCATTCAAAATAATTCAAAACCATAATCATTTTCCCGCATTTGCTTTATGTCACTCATACTGAAAATATCTTTACTTTACAACCACGCAAACCATACAAGTTGACACATGTATAACATTATCTGGCAAAGGAATCAAAAGTACTCACACTACTCACACCTGGGCCCGGGTGTAACTTCCTTTTAACTACATCTATACACGTGTCCAGAAGTACATGAATGGACAAACCAGATCAGCGCGGAGGGGGAGGGCTGGTAATATTAATACAACGCCCCCCTTCCCCAGTCACACCAACTCACTCCATTCACACCAGGGTTTTTAACTAATAGGGAGCCATTGTATGGCCGTTGTGAGTTTACTATTTACCACTACAAAATGCCTTGCTAAGTCTCTTTCCGTTTCTATGCCAAGAATGTTTTCCTCATCCACCTACTATGCCCTTACCTAAAAGAACAACTCTTAGAACTCTTCCAATCCCTTCTCCAACTAGCCTGTTAGCCGTATCAAAAGTACTGGCCCGAGTGTGACTTCCTTTTAATAACATCCATACATGTATCCACAAGTACATGAAATGGAGGGCCCAAATCAGTGCCGGAGGGAGGGGTTCATGTGGAGGAAGACTGAAGACAAAATTGGGAAGGCTATCCCATCGGCTACTTTCTGGTCTATATGGAGGATGAGGAATGATTGTGTTTTTAGTGGGAAACAACCTATGATGGTGGAGTTAAGTGAGTTGATAAAGATGAGAGTTGCATTATGGTTTAAAGCTTATTCAAGAGATTGTTTCTACTCGATGCATGAGTTGGTGAATAATTTGCAACATGTAAGAAAGATATTACGTTGGAGGTTGGGGTAAACTGCCAAGTGGTGGAAGGGTTTACTTGGGTGGAACGGTGTGTATGGGTTTTCTTTTTCTTTTTTGTTTCTCACCAACTTGAGGTTGGTGCTTGCTTGAATCATGTAGGTCCCGTAGTGCCAACCTAGTTAGGATTAAGGGGGTTTCATTATGATGTGTACAGCACTTCCTCGCTTTATTGATGTATTAATCATATGTGTATGCATTTTCATAAAAGCTTCTCTTTTGCTGATCAAAAAAAAAAGTGGGTGTCAATTCTACTAGCGAATTTTCTTTATAAGAATAAGGGTAATAATCTATAATATTTTCTTACTTATCTTATACAATGGTTACCTGTTTGTTTTTATCTAGTATTATATTCCAGAATTCATTTACAATTTCTAATAGATTGTCTTTATGCTTTTTGCTAAATTCTTTTTATAACTAAATTAATGTATTATTTTGTTCTATTATTATTTGTAGCGAAGCGTTATTATTTAAATTAACTAAGTCTACTTATTCAATATATCTAATACTCGTATAATTTTATTGACAAGAGTAAAACTAAATTTTGATACTAATTTAAATGTATAATGAAATAATAATTTTTACAGACAAAATGGAAAGTTCAATTTTTTTTTTAAAATAAAATCTTAATTAAATAGGGTCTTTTACTAACTTATATTACTTATGGGCTTTATATTTTATTTTTATAATCCTTTCAAGGACTAAATACATTTGAATTAAATACTTTAGTGAGTTATTTTGAGGCGTTGATTAAAAGCTGACTTTTTGACTTTTTGGCTTTTTCACTCGATCGTTTATGAATTAAATAGATTTTGATTCAGTTGTCATTTGGTAAAAACTTTTTTAGTTCAGTTTTTTGAGTTGGGACTAAAAATTTGTTTGGGTTATCTTTTTCGACTTTTGCGAGAGAAAATGTGAAATGATTATGATTTACGTATGATATTTTATTTTATTGATTTATTTAGCCTATTTTATCTTTTGTATTATTTTAAATCTATTCACGAAGTCGCGAGTTGATTCTCCTTTGCAAACTAAAATCTAAAATCTATTCACGAATGGAATCTAGTGATTCGAAGTTGAATCTATTCAAGTTTGTGACATCTGGGACACACAGGATTCGTTACTTTAGTTTGTTTATGTATTGTCAAATTTTGATTGGTTTGTATGTTTTGTATATTTTCCAGTTATTGTTGGTGATAGTCAATTGAATATTTTAGTTTCGATGTTTATATTATGAGTAATTTAATTATTTAAAAATAATGAGTGAAAAATAAAATTATTATAAATTTAATGTCTAATTAAGCACAGCTGCCTCACTTCAAATAAGACAACATTTTTTTTTTTTCACCAGAACTTTCTATTCAGTTTATTAAACATACCAGAGAAGACAAATTCACTTTTTCTTATTTCCCCTTCATTTCCTCCGCAATTAATCAATCATATCACAATGAATATATGTTTCGACCATTCTATGTAACTCGAAACCGCGACTCGACACCAAAACGACATCGTTTTGGTGTCAATTTTTTTTTATTTATTTTTATTTCTTTCTTTCTTCCCTGGTTTTGTTACAGAACGAAGAAGAAGAAGGGAGAAGAAGAGAAGGGAGGAGGAGGAGGGAGGGGAGGACGAGGAGGAGGAGGGAGGGGAGGGAGCCATAAAAACCGGTTGGAGGAGGAGGGGAGGCTAGGCAGATGACAGTGGTGCTGCGACGTCGGCGGGGCTGGGCAGACGACCGGGACTGGGCGAGGCGACAGTCTGCTGCGACGATCGGCGACGACCCACAGCGACGAGCACTCTCCTCTCTCTTTCTCCCTCTCTCCTCCTCTTCCCTCTCTTTCTCCCCTCTTCTTCCATTTTCGAGCTCGACCCTATCGAGCTACGAGACATTTTCGTATATGTTTTAACCCCAAATCAAAACAGCAAATCCACATGGAAGAGCTAAAGTAGATGCAACAAAGACATGGAAGACAAGATTTGACCCCAAAAATCAATGATGATATATTATATTAAATCACAATGAAAATCAAAGAGGAACTTCTCTGTACGTTGAAACTCACCAACTCAAATCATGTGCACGAACTGCTTCTATTCAGAGTTAGGATTAACAATTAATAAGGTTCACTGGCTGAAATGCTTAGCAAAACCTTTAATCGACCAAAGCACTTATAAATAATTACGCGTACAGTTACAAGTACATGATGAGCTGAAAACAATTATTTCAGATCAACTAAAACAACTATCTCTAAGAACTCAAAAGCTGGCATTCTGTCGTCTTATAAGTCCTTCCGCACAAACTTAACACATTACAAAGACTCGATTTAACAAATTATTAAAAATAAAAAAGGAAAAATTACATTATGGTGGACGTGCACGTGCACGTGCATCAAACGGCAGCAGTTGGTTCAGCCAACCAATTCCATACTTTCACTTGACCTGTTCCATCACCAGTGAAAAACAGACCACCTGGACCTATCTGTATGGATCGAACCTCCTGTTTTGCAAATATCTTTCCCCTCTCAGAAAACCTACATCAGTGTAGAACAAAGCTTAATTCAAATTAAAAAACAAGAGTATAAACAATTAGGGCAAAATTCACTTTACCCCTTTGTGGTTTTGCCTCAGAATACTTTACCCCTTATAGTTCAAATATAGGCAAAGAACTCCCTTATGATTTGGACTAAAGTGCAAAGCTAACTCTGGTAAAAGTCTACGTAAAATTACCTAAATACCCCTTTCTCTTTCTCTCTTGTCTAATATATATAATTTTCTATTTTAATCACATATTTAACAAATAAAATCATAGTAAACTAAACACCTTAATTTATTACCATAAAATTACCTTAATCTAATTTTTAACTTTTAATCCAATTTCTCACTTTATAACAATTTAAATTAAATGAAATTAATTTTTTTATATATAAAAGATGACAATCCCGGTTAGGGTTTGATTAGAATTAAGATGGAATTTGGAGAATAAGATGCATATGAGGATATTATTGTCGTGATTCAATTTTAACTTTGATTTGGGATTTATTGCTCACTCTCAATTTGAGAGCTTGACACGCCGTCCGTTATCTTTAACGGAAAAACTAAGGTCGCATTTGATTGTGTTTTGGAATTGTGACTCCAATTAAAAAAATTTAAAACTCATAACCAAACCAATCTTTTCAAAACTCAAAACTTAATTCAAAAACTATTTTCAAAACTCATAACCAAACACACATCTCAAAACCCAATTCAAAACTCAAAATCAAACTTTTTTCAAAACTCTATTTAAAAAAATAAAATAAAATAAAAAAATATTTTTTTATTTTATTTTTTAAAATTATTTTTGGAATCATGATTTGAATGTGAAATTGTGTTTTGAATTATGATGGTGACAAGAACTAGCAGAGAACGAAATGGGTGAGGAAGTTGGACGAGATACAACAGAATACCCTAAGACGAAACCCTAAGACGAAAAGGCTGAAACGTGTACCATTGAAATATCAACTGTGATACCCACAAAATCGAAAGAATCACGTGATCCCACAACAGAATATGGAAACATAACAATAAAGGGTGAAACCGTCCACACAGTGACACCACATATGGAAAATAGGATCAGACAGAAACAAACCTCTCCACTAATAGGACTTACCCGAACAAAAGAATGAAGTTAGGACTAATTGGTTTAACAGTTTGTGAAATGTGATTTATTGGTAAATATTCCTTTTAAAAATTTAACCTTTTTGTTATTTGTTTGGTTACGATTTGAGTATAGAGTTTTGAAAGTAGTGTGAATTTTCGAGTCATGTATTTGGTGATGAGGTTTGAAAATAATTTTTGAATTGAGTTTTGATTTATGTGTTTGGTTACAACTTGAGTGTGGAGTTATGTTTTAAGTTTAAAATATTAAAATTAAAAAATCAAAATATTTACAAAATAAAAAAAATATTTAAATAAAAAGTATATATTTAAAATTAAAAAATAAAATTATCTTCAAAATTTTTTAATATTTCAATAAAATAAATTCAAAAAATTTCAAAATACAACTCAAAATTCAAAACTCAAGATAAAATTAAAACTCTTTTCAAAATTCAAAAACTTTTTTCAAAACATTATTCAACCAGACAAATTTTCTATTTTCAAAACTTAGCTCACAATTTCACACTTAAATCACAATTCCACACTCAAATCATAATTCCAAAACTAAATCAAACAGAGCCTAAATGTAGCAATTTAGTCCAAACCTATTAGGGAGTTCTCTCCCTATATTTGAACCATAGGAGGTAAAGTGTTCCAAGACGAAATCACAAGAGAGTAAAATGAATTTTGTCCAAATAATTAATCAACAGGAATTTACAACCAATGAAATATGAGTAAATTATGCAAATAGTCCATGTAGTTTACACGATGTGTCAATTTGGTCCCTATAGTTTCAATTTGCTCGATTTTGCCCCTTAGTTTAACGGATTATGTCATTTTAGTCCAATAAATAATAGTTAAGTTAATTTAACGGAAGGTCAAACAATGCGTCAATTTGGTCTATGTATTTTACACGATGGGTCAATTTGGTCCATGTAGTTTTAATTTTCTCAATTTTGACAGGGATTAAATTGACACATTGTGAAAAATACAAGGACCAAATTGACATATTGTTTGATTTTCCGTTAAATTAACTTAACAACCATTATTTATTGGACTAAAATGACACAATCCGTTAAATTAAGGGGCAAAATCAAGCAAATTGAAATTGCATAAACCAAATTGACATATCGTGTAAAGCACAAGACTATTTACATAATTTTCCCATGAAATAAAATAGTAATTAAATGTCAAAACTCACGATGGTAAGTCATAGACGCGAACAGAGTTGTCATTGCAAGAGCACAGTAAGACTGGCTTAGCTTCCGAATCATGCATCCCACAGAGGGTAAGCAGTCCCTGCAGCAGGCAGGTTATACCATTAAACAACCCCACATTTATTTATAATAACAATAGCTATAAGACACAACTTTAGGCAAAGAAGCACTGACACAGACAGACAAGCATGACACAAACATGTTGATATGAAAATTTTCAAAAAATTTTGGACACAAATATATAGTTATAAAGATAAGCAATTTTTATATGTAATGTATATATTTCATTCAAAACTAATAATAAATGTAATGTACTACTAATTTCTACAGTAAAGGAGAAAAAAATGTGCAAATTTACAATGTTTTTCTTTATCATTAAATTTCAAGTTACTTTATTCAAACTTCTAATATGTATCATGTGTAGTGCTCCCAAGTATATAATGTATGTCCGAATCTAGAATTTTTAAAAATAGTAGGATATATTGGACGTGTGTCGTTAGACTTTAGTTAAACACACAAAGAACCCAATTTACAAAAATAGAAGAAAATGATGCCGCAAGATTTTCTAGAAGAAATGTCAGCAACCAATAGGTAAACACATAGAGAACCCAATTTACAAAAATAGAAGAAAATAATGCCACGAGATTTTCTAGAAGAATTGTAAGCAACCAAATGTATTAGTATATCCCTTACAGACCAAGAATACCTATTAACGACATGAACATGACCATTTCTAGCATAAGAAACGCTTGTCGTAACATTTCTAGCAGCAGGCAGATTATACCATTAAACTACATTTATTTTTAATAACATAGCTACAAGACACAAAGAACTTTAGGTAAATAAGTAGTAACCAAGTTTGCAAACATAAAATGATATTTCCTAGAAGATATGTAAGCAAAGCAACCAAATGTGTTTGTATCCATTGCAGACCTGGAAACTTCCTATTAACCCCATGAATGTGGAGAGACCTCCACGTGCTTGTGTGCCTACCTAATTGTAGGACAACAGAACTTATTTTATTTGAAACATAGAAGAAAAAATGGGAAGTAGTTATATGTTTCTCTACAACTTCAATGGCACAAGTCGTATGATATAGTCCGGACTAATAACTCCATGAATGTGACTATTTCTAGCATAAGAAACATGTGTCAAAACTCTAAACATAAGGAAGAAATCCCCTCCAGACTTCATGGAGATATACATTAACAAGTTCCTAAAATCTACCAAAGAACAAAATTTTGTTTTGTTTGCATCAAAATGATCGTGACGTATTCATTTCCTAGAAAACTGACAAGAAACATCACTGAAAAACAAAATTTCAGTTTTCATCAAAATGCACCAAAACACTACGAAACATTCCAAAATAATAAGTTGTTTCCAGGCCTATTATGAATATCTAACAAAAGCTATAATTTTATTTTTCTCTTTTTGTTAAAGAAAATATTTACAAACAAATAATATTCTTAAATTAGAATCTAAGAAACTAAAAAGAGAAAAGATGAGAAATAGAGAGAGCAAGAGAAACAAGAGAGGACATGGTTAAGTCAATTGTTTCTTTGCTATTACAGGTACCCTTTTTTAAGTAAATGATATCAATGTTACTTTCTTTTTTCCATTCGTACTAAAATCTAGCATGATTAACTCTTTAAACACCTTTTGGTTATGAGATTCTAATATTCAGCGACTTTTATTGAACATTAATCTTAATTTTTTTAACAAATAAATAAAAAACCTTTTTTGCCCAAAGGAACTCCCACACCTTGGAAACCCCTTGACCATTGTTTACTACTAATATTTTGTATTTTTGATATTTTGTTAGACCTTATTTGGTTGGAACCTTACCCACATTTAGAATCACATCATTTGCGCATGATAAAATTAATTTGTTTGACATTAATATGATGGTTCTCAGTTTGCATTGCAATTTATTTTTCAAATAATCCACTTGAACCCTTTATGTAAAATGATGTGCCGACTGTAGACCTTAAACATATCCAATTATTTAAGGGGCAATTTCACTTTTTCCTTTTAACTATTTTCATTTTTTCTATATCATCCAAACCAAACCAAACCAAACCCAGCCAAGCCAAGCCAAGCCAAACCTTAAGTCTCATGAAATGGATCGGCTACATGAATCCTTCTTCTCCACTCGACTATATCAACGGCTATTTGGTTAGTCAAATTCAGGAGATTCATATCTCTATTTACTACACCAGTCCACGTCAATCTAGGTATGCCTATTCCCCTAACACTTCCATCTACTGTCATTGTATTCCATCTTTTCACTACTGCCTCTATTGGTCTCCATTGCATATGATCAAACCATCTTAATCTATTCTCTCTCAACTTATATTCTATCAATACTACTACCTATTCACGAATATACTCATTCTTAACTCTGTCTTCTCTACTCTTACCATACATCCACCTTAGCATCCTCATCTCAGCAGTACTCATCTTATCTACATGTTCTTTCTTAGTTGCGCAACATTTCATCCCATACAACATCGCTGGTCTCATAGTCGTTCTACAGAAATTTCCTTTTAGTCTCGTGGGTACTCGTTTATCACACAGTACCTCAGACACACTCCTCCACTAAAGCCACCCCACATTAATTCTATAGATCACATTCGCTCCAATCTCCACAGCAGTTGTGATAATCAATCCTAAATAACAAAAATGTTCACTCTTATGTAGTGCTTAGTTCTCAATTCTCAATTCTCAATTCTCAATTTTCACTTCTCCTCTACTTCCATTGTTACTATTACTAAAATTATATTCTATGTACTCTGTCTTAGTTCTGCTTATCCTAAAGTCTTTAGATTCAAGTGCTTCTCTCCAAGTCTCTAAATTAATGTTAACACATTCTCTAATCTCATCCATTAACACGATATCATCTGCAAAAAACATAAAACACGGCACATTATCCTGAATATTTCTTGTCAACTCATCTATAACTAAAGTAAAAAGATAAGGACTTAAGGTTGATTCTTGGTGTAACCCCACAATAATTGGAAATTCACTTGTCTTTCCAGCGAGCAATCTAATAGTGATCATCACACCTTCATACATGTCCCTAATCATATCAATGTAACATTTTGTCACCACTTTCTTCCCTAGCACCCACCAGATTATATCCCAAAGCACTCTATCATATGCTTTCTCAAAATCAATAAAAACCATATGAATGCCTCTTTTCTTTTCTCTGTACTTTTCTATTACTCTTCTCAAAAGATAGATCGCTTTCATTGCTGATTTACCAGGCATAAATCTAAATTGATTCTCTGACACCTCTGTCATATCTCGCAATTGACGTTCCATCACTCTCCCACACTTTCATTATATGACACATCAGCTTGATTCCTTTATAATTGTTGCAATTATGAGCATCTCTTTTATTCTTATAAATTGGCACTAATATACTCTTCCTCCACTCCTTCAGCATTTTTCTAATCAACAAAATATTGCTAACTAACCTAGTCAACCAAGCAAACCCTATTTGTATCCAAACATTTCCAAGCTTCAATAGGGATATCATTGGGTCCTAAAGCCTTATTCGATTTCATGCTCTTTCAACTTTTTAAGTGCAATCTCCACTTCAAAATTCCTAATCCTGCGATAGAACCCATCGTCTTAGTTTTCCTTATTACTAGCTACTTCCTCCCCTTTTGACCTTCTTCCATGTTCCTCATTTAACAACTTCTCAAAATAGTTCTTTCACCTAATCTCTTCATCCTTCACCAACACCTTAGAGTCTTCATTCTTAATGTACTTAATCTTATTAAAATCTCTTGTTTCCTCTCTCTTATCTTAGCAATTTGTATTATCTTCTCTCCTTCCTTACCATCTAGTCTAGTGTATAGGTCTTCATTGGCTTTCAACTTAGCCTCTCACTACTCTTTTGACCTCCTTATTGGCCAATCTATAGCTCTTAAAGTTTTCCTCAATTCTATCATTCTACTACTTTTTAAAGCACTCTTTTTCGTCTTTACCAACGCTTGAACCTCTTCCCTCCACCACTAAGTTTCCTTATAGTTAGGTCCCTTTCCTTTCAACTCTCCAAGGACTTCCCTTGAGATTCTCCTTATAAAATTGGCTATCGAGTTCCACACAATATTAGCATCATCTTCCAAGTCCCAAATACCTTCTTTATCAATTCTATTCTTAAATTTTTCTAGTTTATCACCATTTAGGTCCCTCCATCTCGTCCTACGATGCCCACTATCCTTCCTACCTTGGTATTACCCTTTCAAGCATAGATCTAGTACCAAAATCCTATGTCGAGACGTCATGCTCTCTCCAAGAATCACCTTACAGTCACTGCATTTTAGACGGTCTACTTTTCTTACTAGAAAGTAATCTATTTGGCTAATAATTGATCCACTCTTGAAGGTTATCAAATGCTCCTCTCTCTTATACATAGTATTGGCCACCACCAAACTAGAAGCCAACACAAAATTTAAAATACTCTCTCCAGCCTCATTTCTATCACCAAAACCAAACCCACCATGCACCCTCTCATAACCTAGTTTGTCTATTCCTACATAGCTGTTGAAATCTCCACCTATAATTTGGTTCTCTCCTACGGGTATCTCCTATAATTTGGTCCCAAAAATTTCTCTTAGTCTAATCATCTAATCCTATTGTCCCGTATATACTAATAACATTCACTATATTCTCTCTAATAACTAATTTAACTAACATAATCCTATCACCGTTACTAATAACCACAACCACATTTTCTATAAGACTCTTAGAAACTATTATTCTTACCCAATTCATGTGTCTATCATCGCCACTATAATATAATTTAAAACCGATATCCTCTATTTTCTTAGCTTTCTCACCCATCCACTTAGTTTCTTATACGCAAGTTATACTAACTCTCCTTCTAATCATGGCATCTACCAATTCCATAGTCTTACCAATTAAAGTACCTATATTCCACGTGGCTACCCTAAACCTATAGTCTTGAACTAGCTTCTTTATTCGAACTCGTCCAGAAAAATGCAAAAACCTTTGCCCATTTTTCACCGTACCCAGACATCGATGCAGCGCCCCTTACTCACTTTTCGAAAC